CTGTTAACATTTTCCAATCAAACCAGCTGTAATTGAAGGCGGGGATGTCTGTCTGTAGTTTTCTGATGCTGTTTCGGCGCAACGTATATGAACACAACAATAGCTAAGTAAACAGTAAGTTTAGAAGCATGTGCCAAGTGATAAGCCGCCTATCTCCGCTCCCCTATCTTTCCAGCTGACACAAAAAAGTCAAAAGACGAAATCATCCAATGTGGCTATCTCCAAAACTTTCGTAGAACACCAAAGTATCAATAAAAAATAGGATTTGGATACCGTAACTCCATAAGCTTCGCTGAAAAGGAAATCGGCGTGAACTGAGATGAGAGCCACGAACATGGAGCGGCTCTCGCTGGGACAGTACCCTTTCGGTTGCAAGTTGGCATCCATTCCGTTGCTTCTACTCGCCTTGAGCTCGAGCAAAAACTTCTACCCCCCTTGGCTCAGAATCGTCTTCTCACCAATGCGAATCTCCTCGACGCACCACTTTCTCTGCCCACTGAGAAGCGATTCCCTTAACTCACAATCCGATTTATTCGAGCCATCTGACATTTCTCTCCGACTATCCTTGGAGAGCATGAAAAAAATACGAACTGGAAAACTGAACTATGGCAAACGCGGGACTAGAGGGTGAAAGGAGGCTCGGCGTGGCCTGTAGATACGAGTATACCTGCGAAAAGTATGAACCAAACCAAATTTTCCGAAGCCGACAGTTCTGCGCACAACTCTGAGCACCAACCAAAAAGATGACTGAAAAGTTCTGCAATTTACAAATTCCTCTCCCTTCCAATCACTCAGAGGATCAGGCCAAAACTGATCTCGCCCTTGAACGGCTTTGAAGCAACAGAAGATGTTCCCGTAACCAATCTATTTTATCTTCACTGAACCGTTCTACTACGCCATGAGCAAGCTGGAGTGAATTTTATCAGCGTTGCGCCGATAAAAAAATGCCAGTCACCCTCTTCTGAGACCAAAGCAGGTCACGTTCATTCACTTTCTCTTCCAATTTACTGATTCCGATTTATTGCTACTGAGAATACCAATAGAATCTTCGGCTGCTTTGTTTGGACCTCATAATGCTTACACCATAACTAAGCTCGAAAGTGAACAAAGCTCAAGAGAGTGAATGAGAATAAGATGACCATGTCCGGAAAAAACTTCGTGGTAATCACCACCTACTTGTACGGGTAATGTAAGCAGCTTCACAGTTGTTTCTTGATCCCCAGGAATAGTTGAATCCTCTTTACCTGACCTACTTTTCGCGTCTGTTACTACTCACAAACCAAGGGTTTCTCCCAAGCGTTGAAAACTTGCCAAAAATTAAGCCATGGCTGGCAATCAATGCCGTTATGTTTATGTTTACGTCGTGCAATATTGTGACCTAGTCTCGACGTTTGCGCATGAATGAACCGTAGGAAGAGCAGATTGAGTAAGAGCAAACGATTAGGTAATTGAGTTAGATCTTCCTTTCCCAATTATCAGTCAACAAATATCGCTTGAGACCGAGGTGTAAATGGACCTAATCAAATGGGACACCCATAGAACGCGTAGCCTGAACTAACAAACAAGCGAATCCTTTTTTACTAAGCATTGTAGCCTTTTCCAGTTGAATTTTGCACGAATATTTTGATTTGCTGTGCATTGCTGACAATCGCCTAATACGCGATGCAAATCTATTGAAAGTACTCGAGAACCGAAGTTTTGAATTGGAGAGTCTACATTTCCGAACTCTATTCATGACATACATCATCAAATGTGCAATGAGGACGACTACAGATGTTTTCTTTGACTGCAATTTAACCTTGCACCCGCATCTTCAAGAATAAAATCGCAGAATTCGTTTAGGCAACAGTCTGTCTTTAATGTACCCTTGGGGGTTACTAACAGTTTTCCAGATCTTCTAGTCAAAAGAACTGAAAATTCAATTAAGGACCCAATGGATGAAATCTCTCTTTCCTATGAGACCGGCAAATCTTTCGTTCCTATGAGACCATCAGAAAGATGTTGTTTGAAGTCATCAAATTAGAAAAACGCCATTTTTGCACTTTTCTGCTGCATTTATGTGTTGTTCATATTTCTTTACGATTATGCTCTCCTTGAAGTTACGATAGCCCCGGGTTTTGTTACCTGTTGAGTAGCTTGAAAGTGGAAGTTGAAAGTGGCAATTTATAGTTAAGAACTGCTCGGGTGATTAGCCGTGGCCGCTTTGAGGAAAAAGTGGAACTGAGAAATATGAGGTGGTCTGAATCGGTTGAACTTTGAAAAAAAAAGGTGGCTACTGTTAGTGAGAGATAAGGAGCAACGCCAGGTTGCATCCTATGTACTCTATAAGTGTAACTGCTCTAGCGGAATAGATTCATTCTCTATTACCGTAAACCGAGGAAGAGCAATTCCCGAAACTCATGAGCATCTCACGAGCTAGAGCTTTCTCATATTGCATCCTTCAGGAACCCTTCAGTACCGTCATTCTAACCTAAGGTCTTGATCATGTGCTCATTGCGCAAATGAAATCTGGATTGCAGGGAATGTTTCGCTTTGTGAAACCAGCTCGTACGTTTCCCTTGTGCTTCCAGGGCCGAACCAAGTAGGGAGTGGGATGTTGTGGAAAGCTCTCCTCGCTCTCATATTTGTGAGCTGCACCTTCGCAGATGATCTACAACAGTGTCTTCAGTGCGTTCAACAGAAACAGAAGTTAGTTTTCGATTTCCCTTCTACCAAGCTAAATAGAGTTCTATGGATCTACTGATTTGCAGATGGTGTACTGAGACGAGCACATGCGAAGACACCACAAGCAAATGCAAAGTCCCTATCACGGTGAGTTTTCTAAATTTCGAAGAAATGGATAGGACCTTAGAGGAAAATATGTCTTTCGAAATCATAGCAGCTATGAAGTCCCCAAAAGAGGAGCTAATCAAATGAGTAAACTCGTCCGGTGTTACAGAACGCTCGTTTTCGACTGTTCAATTAATGTGATTCTTTTATTCAGATGAAGACGTCTCTCTGCTCGCCCCCCGTAAGGAGCCAACTTCACCATGAGAAGGAACCCAAATTTTTCAAATTCATGTTACATACGCGTATCAGAATTGATTTACTTTATTTCGTTTCGATTCTCTTTTCACCTTGAAACCAGCATCTCCTTAAGACTTCACGGCCCAGGTCACTTCGGATAGTCAATCAAATTCTTTGAAAGCAACGCCGGGTGGCGCCGGTACTATATGCTCGTGATGAAAATGTCGTCCTCAACCAAAACCGATGCAGACTAGCCCAATCCTCCATCCCTATTAGAGTGATCGATCGGGGATTAGGTAGACGAAGCGCGTTTGTGGAGAACGATGACCCCTACCCCTCCCCCTCTTCAAACAGTATTTTATCTTCGGGTAAAGGTTTCGTCCATGTATGGGAATGGGACAAGTTTGCTTACCGTAGTCAGTCATTCGCACCAGATCCACTCGTACGCACTGACACCCATTGTACAGCTCGTCCAAACGCTCCATTCTTCTTCATTTTTCTGGTCTTACTCTTGCCCAGCCCCTTTTTCAACGATTCTTCGAAGCTTTTTTCGACTTTGGAAACACCGATTCATGCAGTTTCTTTGCCTTCATCGCACTATTTTCCATCACATCTTCCATTTTTCTTCATAACCTGGATGACCAAAAATTATCGCGAAATTTAAGAAGGAATGCAGGCCACCAAGCCACTTTATTCTGAATGATGAACCCCACTGCCCATATGATGTTACAAACTCGTTATGCTGGCGGTAGGGTAAATCAGTCGGATTTTCTTGGCTATGAGAAGTGAAACTGCGGCGCAATTTAAGTTTATGTAGTTGCTTTCCTAATAGTGCTCAATTTACAGTTATCGCTAAACTGCCCACGACTCCCTGACCCAGCTTACGCCTACAACGAGACATTCGCTCGCTACTACATCACTCCTCTCGTAGCTGGTGTTTTTCCCTCAAATCCAGTCAAATGTCTGAAGTAAGTTCCTCATTAATAGAGCACTTTTGAGATGGCAAGTCGGTGAAAAACCCCATTCAATTCCCAAAAAAAAAAAGATTTTAGGTCGTCGCTACCTTACGTGTCCTTCTATAAGACTGTCGACGTCAAATGCGCGACAGAAATACCAGGTAAGATTTGGGTTCCAGTTCTGAGAAGTGAAGCGGCATGTACTTGGAATGACTGGAGTTCAGAGTTCCTGCCTCTACTAGAGTTATTCTTAACAGTTCCTCTCTACCAGTAGAGTTCACAACTCATCTAACCTCGCCCCTGCCCCCACCCATACATCTCTAGAAAAATAGGCGTTAACGGTGCCTTTACTCCTGCCATGAACGTGAGTCCTCTTACCGCGCGTTTTACTGATATGTTCACAAAAGCTGTCCTCAACACAGTTCTTGGCCGCATTCCTTACCACCAGACTTCTCTACTAGAGGTGATACTTCTTGAGAAATTCGCCCTTGAATACATTCCTCTTCCGAACCATCGACTGAGAAATACGCAAAATCTCAATCAGCAGCCTATTCAGGTTGGGAGCCAACCGTTTCCCGGAGAAGTGCCCTCAAAAGCTCTTCAGTGTTTCCATTTTTTCAGGAAAGTATAGAAGTGTTGAAAGTGAATTTTTGTCTTAACAAAATGGTTGAACTTATGAATACACTGGTACAGAAAGGCCTGAAGAGCCATTGGATCACCTCATAGCTCTCTCATCTTTCAGAAATTCATACTGGCGTGACTACCAGTTTCGATATGATTACAAGCTAAGAGGAGGTGATAAACCGGGTTCACGAGGTGTCTCATAGGGCGACAACCAGTGCAGAGCGAACGAGTTCATACAGAGGAAAGATTTGGTTTTGAAAGTTCCATTTCATGGTTGGACGACAAAGGGCATGTGATTAAGCACGGATTTTTCTCCAGAAATGAATTCCAACAAAATAAATAACCAATTTCAAAAAATAAAATGAAAGAAGGCCCATTACAAATTTTACACATCAGGGGATAACCTTCTGACTGCTGACCGTACTTTTCCCGATCTTTCCTGCCCACTCTTCCCTCTTTACCGCTCAGCCTCCCTACCACCAGCTCCACTTCATAGGACTGCTCGAGCTAAACTAGCCTTTGATATGTACTTTCACGTAGACGGCTAACTAACGCTATTCTATGCTAAGGGAAAACTATATGAACATCAACGAGACACGACCTTTTATTTTCATGAGCCAAATAATGATTTGACTACCTTCCAGTGATCTAATAATATCGACTACCCGATGAATACTGAAGCTAGCCGAACTAGTCAAGCAGTTGAGATTTTTTACCTCCAACTGTATTCAGATGTCAACTGCCATGGTTACACAGCTTGGGATCCCGTGGAAAAAGCGATCATCATTGCATTCCGTGGAACGGACGGTGGTTTCCAGATGACCGATGAGATCATGAGTTTTTTCTTGTTAGTTATTGGTACATGGATTTTTCTGGCTTTTCTACCTAAAACACTTTATTGCAGACATCGAGTTCCATTCTTTGACAATGGTCATCTATTCAAATACTTCCATGATGCATTCTTCTTCCTTTGGAATGGAGGACTCGAGCAACAAGTCCGCACACTCAAGTACCAGTACCCTAATTATAAGTTCTATGTAAGTGTGATTTTTTCAAAGGCCATTACTAAAATTTAGTGCTAAAAAAATACGATTCAAAGGCACAGTTCAAGATAAAAATGGTTTCTAAGATTTCCCCTTAGTATGAATTCGAGGCTCCCCTTATTCCATACCTACCGTTATCAGGTCGAAAAACGTCCTGGATAGGGCACAATTAGGGGAAAGAGATTGTATCGCGTGGATGCCACACCCATAGTGGACGAATTTTAACGGTTTTGAAGAGGCTGCCATATCTCAAGGGGCTCCCACGTGGGAAGTTCAAACAATTCGCAAAAATCCATGGCGACAGTGAAAGGCAGTTTTGAACAATTCCGGCTTGATTTAGCCATCTCTTTGCGCAACGGGAGCAAGTTAAATCTCGTCCAAACACCCCTAACATGCTATGCTCGTCGCGGTGATCTCGTATAACCTCTACTTTCACAAATTCTGAAGCCTCGAAGAAAGCGGATTTTTTCACCTTCTTAGCTACCTATGTTCTCCCCTACACCAACACTTCCGCCTTCAAACCTACAAAGGGTACCTCTAAATTATCGTGAACTGTGCCTTCAAAAATAAAGCATGTGCCCTGAGAGCAGAAAGTTATTTCAAAGGGAGTTAATCAATTCATCACAGGTTTTTAACCAATTCATTTCTTTTTACTAAAGTTTTAATGAGTGAATGAGCTATCAGACTCGTTCTATGGAAAAGAAGAGAGAGAAAGAGGAGGGAGAGAGTGGGGAAGACCAGGTGAGGTTCGAGGCTTGTTATGAAGTAACTGACCACTGGCATGAAGGAGCTTCCGAATGACATAGACGGGCATTGACTCGCAAACCTTCCTTATTTGTTGTACACAATTTTGAGAACCCGTTTTACTTTGATTCATAAAAAGACCGAGAGTAAATGAACAATTATCTGGATTAAGGAAAATTAGTATTCTCAACTGGTGTAGAAGGGAATTCAAAGTTTCAAACAAAATAGAGGTTTTCACAATGTCTCTCTCTTCCGTAATGGATATGAAACATGCAGGATTCCTCATACTCTAGAAAACGCTGAAGTGAATAAGCCTCATTTCCCCCACCGTAAATACAAGAAACTAATGTCTTCACTGAAATGTTCAAGAAGATCAGCAAAGAAGTCTATGAATGTCAAGCCTAGTAGTTATTGCAAGGTTCACATTGTCAAGTTCTGATTCCAGGTAACTGGTCACTCGCTAGGTGCATCAATCGCATCTATATGTGCGTCATATCTGGTTAAATTTAATATGACGACACCGGAGAATCTTCGACTGGTCACATTTGGCCAGCCTCGAACTGGTGACTACGACTTCGCAGCATGGCATGAAGCTACGGTATGCGGTTCTGCTACCATCGTGGTGGAGTATCAAGTTTATCCAGACTGTTTACAGTTCCCGTATGCCTATCGCATTGTTCACCATCGCGATCCCGTGCCACACATTCCACCCATGATCGGAGCTGATCAAGTGTTTCATCATCGATACGAAGTTTGGTAAGTTAGAAAAGGGAAACGATTTACCTCATGTGTAGTTATCTCACTGTAATGGTGACGATTTATGAGAAGGAATTGCAAGCGCCTGATAAGCCATGACCAAGAGTACGGTGACGTACAGCTGCAGCCGATGTCAAATCGGCTCCGCACTGACAGTAGAAATGATTCGGTGCATAAGTTTTTCCTGAAATTTTGTCTGTCTCAAAAAGCCATAATAGCCGTGTTCGACTAACACTCTTCTGGTTTGTTTGGGCGCACCGACAGTGCAATTTAAATAGATAAATAAACAAATAATAAAGTTGATGGAAAAAATGAACAATTTGATGGTAGCGTAAGAGAGATGATGGAGGGATTTAAGAGCTTATCTAAGAATAATATACACGTAGAGAGTTCTCAAATGGCTTTAGATGCAAAGTATGCTATAACTTCATGCCCTTCCATTGGGTTACCGTGCGATTCCAGAAGCAACGGTGGTGAAGCAAACCGCAGAAACCCCAAAATTTAAAGGCACTCTCACGATAGAAAAGGCTTCTGAGATTACTTTTAAGAATTAACTTGTGTTCCCTAAGGATAGCACAGGGAACGCTGTCGGTCGAAAAACGATCTGGATAGGGTGTATTAGGGGCCCTAAGCCAATTTAGCCGACGTACATCCAAAGATGGACGAGTTCTTAACAGCGTTGTAGAGACTATAGAGGTTGCACCATTCGCACCGTGACACACATGTTGCAAGCAGGCAGCTTACTTCGCTGTTAGCATTAAGTTTCCCGTACTTAATATAAGACCCATTAGGACAGCTCGTACAAATACCCCTTCTGTGAACTATTGCCGTGAGATTCGCGATTCGCCTTTTTTTGAACAATTCTAGACTATCACTTTCATAATTTGTCTTTAACTGGATACCTAAAACTATTGTGAACTGTGCGGACGCCTCTCCCTGAAAGGGGTGCCCAAGGTGAATGTCGTTTGGTGAATGTTTCACGAAGTACAGAACAGCTACAGTTAAAGAGGTAACTCAAAAATCTATGATGTTTCACGGAATTTTCAGGTACAATAATGATATGGCCGTTGGACAGCCATACACAATCTGTAAGGAATCGGATGGTGATTACTGCAGTAATACAGTGATCAGTACAGAAGGCTCGGATCATGATTCGTACTACAATCGGGATCTTGGTCGTTGGGCATCTCAAGGTTGCCCACCATGAAAGCATACAGTCACACCTTGAAGGAAAGTAGTTGAGAGTTTGAAAAATAAATAAAGCCTTAACAACATGCATTCTCCCTATTATGTTGAGTATTCAATCGAAATTCACATTTATTAGAGGAAGCTACTAGACGCTGCCTATAGATCTGATCGTCGGGGAGAAGATAAATCTTTGTGGGACAAGATAAACCCAATAAGGCTAACTAGGTAAACATTGTCATGAAAGACTTTTTGCTTCGTTTTGGTGGAATCGCCTAATCCACGAGCACAGAACTGCTTCCACCTCCCAGCGCGGTGCAGCCCTATTCTCCATTTGGTCTTTCCATCTACCCTTCTTTACAAGCTCCCTTGCCTAGTGCCTAGCTAAGTAACCAGGCCCTACAACTTAAAACACTGCCGAAGTTCGTGGGGACACTTGAAGTAAAGGGCTTTTGNAGGAGCCTCAATTAGAGGTGTTTCCTCAGCTGGGATTCTAAATATCAGCGCGCTGCATGAGCTGCCAATGAGAATCTTAGCCATCTCCTAATCTCTCACCATATCAATCCACAGGGCTATAATGTACACGGTTTCATAACCCACAACGAATTCCAATAAGATGTATCTATGTCGCCCACGAAAAACTTTATTACTCTCTCATTTCCGACCATATCTTCATTCTGGTCTATTTATCAGATCCTTGACAACAGCGCGCAATTCACGAGAGCAGGAGCCCGGGTCCACACAGATTGAACAAACATACCCTGCATCTCACTTTGTGTTACTATGGTAATTACTCACTGCCCAAGCACTGCAACGTAATGTTCTAGAATTTAAACGAAGTAAATTCGGGATACACCATGTATTCAAGATTTTTCGAAAATCACAAAGCAAACTGCATTTCTGCAGACTTTGCGCGGCACTATCCTTGAACTAAGTCTAATGTGGTGAGTAGGTTGAGGCCGATCAGAGTAAACAGCGAATCGCGAGTGCCGAGCGCCCACTCCATGTGTTAAGTGGTCTTCATAGAATTACTGTAACATACAAAAAATCCGGTGCAAATACAGCATGGTTTGTGAATGAAAGAGTTGAATGCACGGTGTATTCCACAGTCACTCGGACCCTAGAACGCTGGGAGGTGGAATCGACGACTCGACGTGTTAACGAATTTTACTTTTAACTTATGGTTAGGCGAAACATATTCTTAATTAATCTCCAGCTACAAAAACTGAAGCAAACTGATTAAAATAATATAAAATTTGGAAATCATGTGAATTAGCGTTTGTCTTTTGTATGGTGTTAAGAACTCGTCCGATGACACTTCATCACTCGCCACGATGTTTTCTTATACTGATTTATGCAGCGCCTATAGAAGGTTTTTCTTTTCCCATTTGCTCCTAAAAAAGCATGGTCAAGAATAGTGAGAGCGCGAGAATATAAGTACATATAGTGGTGGTTCGCAATAGAGTTTTCATGGTAGAGGAGCATGGCCGTTGGTATAAAGCAAAGTTGACAACGGCTTCAAATATTAAGTGCTTCTTATGCGTTGGCTATTGTCAATAAGGTCGTAGGTTGTGGAAACATCGCAATGGTCTGGTTATGGTCAGTGCTTTTTATGCGTTGGCTATTGTCAATAAGGTCGTAGGTTGTGGAAACATCGCAATGGTCTGGTTATGGTCAGCGCCACTCGATTATATCAGAAATTACTGACTGAAGCTCGTTAGCATTGAACTATTGACGAGACAAGACAATCCCTTCCTTGATCCGTCCGTCCGTCCTTGCACCGTCCAAAAGCTCCAGCTCTACGTCTCAAAGCTCCAAAGCACAAAGAAAAGGTGAACTCCATGCCAAAGCGGTTCCGGCTATTTAAATAGAACCCTGCCCAGGTCCAAAAGCTCCAGCTCTACTTTTCAAAGCTCCAAAGCACAAAGAAAAGGAGAACTCCATGCCAAAGCGGTTCCGGCTATTTAAATAGAACCCAGCTGTACGTCTCAAAGCTCCAAAGCACAAAGAAAAGGTGAACTCCATGCCAAAGCGGTTCCGGCTATTTAAATAGAACCCTGCCCAGCAAGAGTAAAACCAGTTATGCCGAGTTACATATCCATAAAAAATATCACGCTAATATCCATCAAAATGGATTTGAGCATGCAGCAGCTCGCCCAAGTCGCAAGTTGCTCTACGTTGATTAACGAGACCCCAAAAATCCATCATTAGGAATGCTCCATTAGGCAAGTTTGGTGCGTTTTTCTTTGCATCCTTCAATGCTCATGAACCAAATGGGATTACTATGCTCACTGGAACGACAACAAAGTGATCTAGTGAATGCTATTTCAGAAATCTGGAAGCATGAAAACAACTATGACCACTACATATAAAACTCTGATGGGTTCGATAGAGGATGTCTTGAAGTGTCTGATGTAAACGAGTATATAGAATAATCTTACCATGCCTTATGCGAAGATGTTCGCTAGAAACTTTCTTTTAGGTCCACTGAGTTGGCTAGTTTCAATGCGACCCTGCGAGTATATTCGAGCATAAGAAGCTAGCCAGACCCTTTCGGAAACTGGGCCGGTTTGTCTACAAGAGAAAAACAGTGAAAAGAAGTATTACATCACCTCAAAAAAAAGGTTAGGTGTGAAGTGTCAGTCAAGAGAGGTGTCAGTTGTCGGAGTGTACAACCGGTGACCCCTCTTCACCTAACAACCGCTCGAAATAGATCAAGTGGTGTGTTGGACTCCGCTAGCCCACACAGGAGGATAAAAAAAAATTTTCGAGATGCCATTCTCTTCAGAGTTCTTTTCGGTGCAGTCATTTATGAGGTTGTGATGACAAAGGTCCACACAATCGCCACGTTTGAAAGACCGTGGCATCGTATCCCACCATCATAACACCATCATCATAACATTCGCTTTAGAAAGAAGAGATCAGCATTTCAAAGCAAACAGAAAGCGGAAGAGAGCCCTAATGTAGGTAAGATGGAGGGGAAAGATGAAAGGCACTAAACTTCACATAAAAATACGAACAAGGAGCACCAAACTAACTGTAAGCTATCCGATTCATGCCTTATTGAAACACCGCGGCATTTTCTTTACGAACACTATCCCCCATCAAATACTCGAAGTAGAGGAATTTAGAAGTCAAAAGTAGAAGGGCATTGTGTACGTCTCCAATATCCCATGCACTGAGTGCAGCCCGAGACAAATTCAGGGTTACACCCGCACACATATGGTACAAGCTTTCCCCTACCCCTCCCACCACTGAGCGATTCGGGGCTACTCCACAAGTGATTCACAAGGGATCACCATTCACCAACGCTTCTGAACTAGGCGATTACACAAAATGGTGCAGCACTTAATGCCCACAAGCCAATGGAGCTCAATATAAACAGCCATACAACTCAGCTATTTACTATACAGAGAAAAAGTAGTGTGGGGTACCTACTTATTCAAATATTTTAAGCTTCTGACCAATCGGTCAAAGCCAAAGCACTCCCCATCCCCAACTACTCGTTTTCAATTGCACTATCGAAAATGCAAACGTTCCCATACATATATCAACAATTTCGGCGTCCTCAGCCAGTTGGGCAGTCTATGTCACAAACTATCAATCAAAACACCACGACCCCCCAAAAATTCAGCCGTGGGGAAATCAACTTCAACACGACGACAACTTCCGATAATGCACATCACTACAAACCCAACAGACTTGTGAACACCTGAGTGAAATCAATAAAGGAGCCCCGATAATAAACATCGTTTATTCAACTTATGTACGAGACTTTTCCGAGTAATAACCCTCCAACAAAACAAAAACTACAACAGTACTTCGTCACTTTATTCACTAACAAAAAACACGTTATTATTAATTGTATTGGATACATAATGAAGATCATGGGTTCACACACAATAAACTCATATAAACAAGTGTGTTATTATCACCATCGGCCACCACCGCCGCCATAGCCACCACCATTTTCATACCTGAACATCAATATGTGAGCAAAAAAGACAAAAAGAACATAATCGAAAATGTAATGAAGGTCATTGCATTATCCATTGAAAGAATTTTCTCTATAGTCCAAAAACCTTGCATTTGCTTTTCTAAACCGTCACTCATTCCAAAAAACAACCTAAGCAGCTAGGCTTTCATTTCACTTCGAAAAAGTAGACGAACAGCTCACCTTCCCTTCTTTCCACCATAATCATCTCCACCACTGTAGCCACGCTTCATGCCACCTCCGCTGCTTCCACCCCAACGACCTCGGCTATTGCTACTACTGCCTCGTCCTTGCAAATCGCGAAGTGACTGCGGGACTTGTTGACCGGCTTCCTCCAGAACCTTTATAAGGTCTCTCGCCTTGGCAGCATTCTGGGGTGTGAAGAATGTGTATGCCGTACCCTTAAATATACTGGTTCATGAAAAGCTGGTTAGAAAGATCCCTATGAACTCATTTCAAACAGTGTGCTTACCCTTTTATCGCGGCGACCGGTACGACCGATTCGGTGAACGTAGTCTTCCGAATTATTAGGGTAGTCATAGTTAATAACATACTTAATGTCATCGACATCTGAAAATTAATAAATAAGAAGTGATGATGCAAATGACAAACACCAAACGGATTATAGCACTCGCATGGAATCTAGCTAGTTTCGAGTAAGGAGACAAGGGACACGACTTTCAAGAATTTTTAACACCGTACTCAGCAAAGCGGTTTCTCTGAAATCGGTCTAGGAGTTTCCACCTCTGTATTTATCTAGCCCCTGGAGTAAATTAGACTTCTAACGCGTAATCGCATTGTTGACTACGTGTAGGTTTGATAGCCTTTCTCGAAAGCAGTGACACGCAGTGTGCCAGCATCTTTTTTATGCTCAAGTTCTATCCATGGGAACTCCAACACCTATGGTCAATACCCGCACGAAAACGCATGCTCCTAGCCGCGTTTCGGGAAGCGAGCACTGAACTAAATTTTTGACTGAAAATGAGCACTGGTACAAGCATTTGGTTTTAGGGGATCTCCTGATGCGAACGATGTAGACTTTATTTTGAAAAAACGTAATTGATCCGCATCCAAAACGTATGTCATGATCATAAAATTGCGTTAAGATTGCGACGTCTTGAAGGCATTTTATTAATATGAACCTGAAGCCTATAGAACAATAGGCAAACGTATAACGAATCTGTTTGCTTTTTGCGATTACTTGGAATTCCCAAAAATGCTGTAGCACACTGTATGCCACTGCATACAAGGCCAGAGCTCTTCAAAATCGTGCCCCAACACAAAAGAACTCTGCCTATCATGAGGAAACTAATCTACGAAGGCAAAACGAAGAACTCGTCCACACACCTGCGAGTCCGAATGCTGGGAGAGGCGGTGGACAGACGGCCGCGGCGAGACTTCACTCCACTCCGGAACTCCATCCACTTCCGGACAACTATGTCACGGGAGTTCGGTTCCGACTCAGAGCGGTCGCGTGCTCTTAATAGAACACGTCGACTCTCACACACGCCGACCTACACACCGCATGTGCACGCGCACACGGCTTAGAGCTCTCAATATAAAGCCGGTGTCATATTTTGATGTGAACGATCGCCACCATCTCCAATGTTGACATGGTGTGGTAGCTTTTACAGCGGAAAAGGCGCATGTTGACACCGGCATTGCAAACGTTGCTCAGAAAGTCAGCTCTGCGACCAGTCAGAGCCATCGATCATGGAGATACGTTCATTTCACCCAGCTCCAGAGACCGCTGCGCGTACACCTCACCAACATCCAAATCAATGTGTACAACTCTTCAAATAATATATTGAAGAATCATTATAGCGTGAATTGAATGACTCGAAAAATTATCCGAAAAACAAACCACTGAGGCAATAGCTTCAATGGCGAATAAAAAGTAACCTACCTAAACCACGGGCAGCAACATCCGTGGCAAGCATAATGGGTGTTTTGCCGGCCTTGAACTCTGAAATAGCAACTAATACAGGCTGCCTTAAACGTATCGATAAGGACATAAGCTACACTCAGCACAGGCTGTACCCCCGTTGACTATTTTCTATCTAGCGGCGGGCGCACTGGCTAAGTTTTGCGAAGACTGAAGAGAGCGTTGAGTCGGAGGAGTGCGAAACGTCAAACGGCATCAGCCGATGCTATTGATTGCGGCCGCAACAACTGGCTATGGCGCTCCGCCAATTACAGATGCACAGCTGCAAATTCGAGACAGCCTTAACTGAACAACTCGCCAACAACTTGCAGCAATTTATTTCATGGCCACCCTTATCCGCTTCTCTTATTAAAATGCCTATGGTTATTGCCAGAATGACAGAACTTTTTCCTCACAAAGCACGGCCGCCTTATGGGTGGCGAATCGGACACGCAGGGCGCTCGCGAACTTGCAAAAAAGAGATTGCTATTCCACAATATGGCGCTGCGACTGAACAAAGCCCGCCGACGAGGCCTTTCTCAACAATGAAGAGTCCATATACAGATAGGCGCTAAACTCCATATGACTCAAGCGTAATAGAGGACAGTCACGCCTTTTCTCTACGATTACCCCTTACTGAAAAACTAAAAAACGAAGAAGGGAGGATTGCTAAAAAGCTAGTAGTAGTTATCACCACCAATACACTCACCACTCAAGACCCAATCACGTTCTCCTTGGTTCTTATCTCCATGAATGCAGAGCGTGGGCCAGCCATCGCGACGCATCCACCGAGTCAAATCATCCGCTTTACGTTTTGTTTCCACGAAGATAATTGTTTTACACTCAGGCTGAAAACCATACATGGAAGAAACACATGTTTTGAAATGCAACTTTTTTACAAACCTGATTCATTATATCATTCAACAGTTGCATCATTCTAGCTTGTTTTGCATGCTCTTCTATTACATCAACAAATTGGGTGATATTGTGATTAGCAGCAAGCTCCATCGAACCGACATTTAGGAATGCTGCGTCTTTCTGGAAGTCGGATGCGAGTGCACGGACTTCCTTGGGCCATGTAGCGGAGAACATGAGAGTTTGGCGATCTGGCTAAAATATGCACAGTAAATAGGGCTACATAGAAGACGAGAAAGATCACAGCAACTTACTCTGATTTGTCCTATTATCTTCCTAATTTGGGGTTCGAAACCCATATCGAGCATCCTATCCGCTTCGTCCAGGACCAAATAAGAACATCTAGAAGACAACAATGCCATACTAGAATAGTTACGGCTAAATGCGATACCAACCTTTTCATATTCGTGGTATTATTATCCAAGAAATCTAACAATCGGCCGGGAGTAGCTACTACTACATCAACTCCACGTTCAAGATCACGAGCTTGTGGTGCTTTGGAAGCTCCACCGAATAAACATGTCATTTTCAATCCAAGAGCGTTGCAGAACTCAATAGATACCTGAACTTATCACATGCAATATAAAAGGGAAACACGAATATGAAGGATTTGGGCCATAAGGGAATTTCCGAATGAAAAAAGTACGACAGAATACCTCTTGAACTTGCTGCGCTAGTTCTCTAGTTGGTAGCAATACTAGTACTGATGGCCCATCATATCGACCTCGTGGTGGTTGCTTGGTCGTATGAATAAGTCCAGGTAGCATAAACTAAAGAAGGACCATTTTTATTCATCTCATGGATAAAAAGTGGTAAGGATACTTACCGCTAGCGTCTTTCCTGAACCAGTTTTAGCGATGGAAATGATGTCACGGCCACTCATCGCAATTGGCCATGATATTGATTGGATGACGGTAGGCTTTTGGAAGTTGGCATACAGTAAATCCACAAGCTCGTTGGGAAGCGATGACTCGCTGAATTCCCATACAGGACGTGGTATACCACGACCGTCTATTGTCACCTGATTGTCGCTGATCCACTGGTCAATTTCGAACTGAAACGCACTAATATCAGCGGCAGACACGTTATGTCCGTAATTTTCCATGAAGTGCTTCGAATTACTCAATTTCTATGACTAAGGCGATACCGCCAAAAATATTTTCTCTGACCTAAAAACTTGATGTACCTGGTCTCTCCTGGTAACTGCTGCATGCTCGTGGTAAAAGTCTTTTTGTATGGGCTTCAGGTTTTCTTTACTCCAATCTATATCACGAAGACGGCTTCCTGGATTTCCTTGACCACCTCCTCCGCCACCACCACCTCGGCCTCCACCGCCGAACCCACGTCCACCTCCGTAGCCACCACCGCCATAGCCACCACCTAAACATGATATTTAAGGTGAGCTATAAGTGTGAAAAGACGACACAAGCGCACCGCCTCGACTGTCATAACCTCTTCCGCCACCACCACGACTTCCTCCTCCTCGGCCTCCACTTCCATATCTGTCACTGAAAAAGACGATTCATTGAACAACAAATTTTCTCAATCGCAGAACGAGAACAATAGGTTCCCCAAGTCAGCGGATGAAGGAAGAGAAAAAAATGACGTAATAAAATAAAACTTACTACTGATTATCTCTCATCTTTGCTGTGTGATGTATTTGGAATGCTTTCTTTTGATCGAGAAGCGGAAGATTTGTTTGACGAGTGTAGCGATCCGATTTCGAATCCGATCCGCCACTTGGTGCTCGAGCAGAGGCTGTGCACAAAATTCGAGATGTACGAATTCCTTTATCGGCAATAGCAAGTCGAGATAGCCCGATACGAAGTGAATTGAAAAACATAAACTCCAGGGAAGTACAAGATGACCAGAGCAGCACCACCACCACAAAGACCCAATGAAAAAAAAGAGACCGCCTGTGTACTGTGACACGGCCTAAAACAAGCAAACCGCAGCGCGTCGACCTGATCGATACAAGGCCGCACGTTTTCGTCGTGGGACCAGGACGCGGCGTACGAGAAGGCGCCCTTCGCAGCAGCAAAACGGCCGCGCCGCCGCACCGCGACCGTTCTAGGTGGTCGCCGGCACGGGACACTGCAGGAGGGAATGGAACTGTATGTCAGGTATGTGGAAATACTGCATAAAACGTTGGAAGTCCAGGTGGTCTAGTTTAAGTTTGTTCTAAGCAGATAGTTCACCATGATTCAAGCTGTGTTAATAATAAATGGGAAAGAAAGTGCTTTGAACAATTCAGAGCAAGCGCTTAAAAAAGAGCGTAATGTAGAGACTTGAAAGCATTTTTGCTAAAAATTCATTTTTTAACAACGAGCAAAGATGAAGTGAGTGGGCACACATGCCTCCTCGTATCGGGCTGCTTCCCAGGCAGGCTGCCTGGCCCATCGATTTAGAGAGAGGAACGGGCATAATTAGAGTGATGGGTAAACAACAGATTAGCGAGAATGGTAAACACGTAACAGAGCTAACCACATGTTTGATGCCAGCAATACTTTTCAAATAAGTAGTCTTACGAAGCTTTCCGAAAGCAGAATGGATCTAACAGATTCAGCCTCTGACACTTCAGTTTCCCACAAAGATAGGCACAAATCTCATGAAACTTTTGTGTGCCGCAGTATTGATTGTAAATTATACAGAGGTGCAAATTATTTTATACCAAGATAGACCAGTGATAATCGAAGTTACAGAGATGGGTTTCATTGACCCAGGTCGAAAAATTATGATGAAAAATCAAGTACAATACATAGAAGGGAGACAAACAAGTGTTTTGCAGCTGATTTTGTACACGATAAGCTTTCCGTCATATTGTTAGTGGTAGGGGAGACCACAGTGAGACTACTAATGGAATCGGGAGTCATGAAAAAGTATTGGACGTTCTTTGCCCAAAACAAAAAAACAGAATTCCTTTTAACATCCATGAAATGGGAACCACTCAGAGTTTCATACGTACGAGAATGAGTAATCTGCCTGTACTGAATTCCCCGAGGCTGTCTCCTCAGAAATCTGATTCATTTCTTTCTCGCAAAATCTGCCGTAAACCATGAAATTTCACCATTACTAGGCTTCCATAGAGGATAATGTCATAAAAAGTTGTTTTATTAAGAATGAGCTCCTTTCGCAGGCGTACGGTTACGAGGAGACGACATGGTCACTATCGACCATGTTTTTGTCATGTCATGTTTTCCTGGGGATTCATGTAAACGACTGGGAGGGTACTTCCAGGAGATAGCGTTTAATTCGCTACACAGTTTGAAATATTAAGTAAATACGTGCTCCAATTTCTTCTTCTAAGAACGTTACGGACGTTTCGGGTTTGCGTCGGCGCAACAGTTGCTCCCGACCTCGACGACCAATTCTGTGAGGAATTACTCTTTATGAGTGTATAGGGTCCACAAAAAAGTGGCCTAAATACCAAACCTTAAGCGTGATACTTCTGAACTTATCACTTCATCTACTGACACCTCCTGCTGGCCATAAGTGGAGTATCACCACAGGATTTTATGGTTACTAAACCCCCTTCGATTGATTTAGTCGAAACCGGAGATTATTCATATTTAAGCCGAGCAAATTCAATATACCTATGGGTTTACTTCAAGAAAATCCCAATTAATGATCAGGGTCAAAGTTCGGTTTGGGAAGGTGTTTCTTTGTAATGTCTGGTGATTTCTCCGAGAGATAAGGTACGCTCTACTTCGTTTTTTCGCTCTGTCGAATCATGTGTCGAGAACCATTGTCACTGCTCACTATCAGCCTCGTTTGTCAACGAAATGTGCCGAAGTGCATTAAGAAACCGGACGAGAGATTTGCAAATGAAAACGTCTGATGAAAAAGGCAAACTGTTTCTGGAACCATGAACGGGGGGTTAGTGGAAATGTAACCACCTAACTTCCGAGAGGGCTGACGGTGTGCAGTTAAAACACTATCTAGAGGAGCCAGAAACACTGAAGAAATTAAGTGCTGATTTTGCAACAGAAACCAAAAAGAATGAGGTTTAGCAGTCATTTTAGTATGGGTAATCCCATGCAGTGTTAAGATTTCATGGTAACCCCCACGAAAAGCTCATTCCACTGGCAAAAAAACAAACACAGTACAATTGCAGTTACAATTGTAGCTTCCCAAAGTTTCCCGAAGTAAGAAATGCCATGCTTCTGGGAGCGAGATGGATATTCATACTGATATTTCTATTGCTATGTAATAAAGAAAAACCGAGATCTCGCCTTGCACTGAAGAGAAGATCGATTCTGCGATTTTAGATGAAGCTTCAGACTCAGCAAAACTTTGAATCACTTGAAAGATGGTTGCGACCAAAAATAGCAATCATGTTCGATACAGCTCGGGAAAGATAACGGAGAAGTGCGCAACACTGAGCAGCCACGGTGGTTGACGTTTAGAGTGATTTGTGAGTTTAGCTGCATTGACAACACGAGAGAACGAAATTCCGAGCGCTGGGAGTCAAAGATCCATTAGCCACATACAAACCGAACCAAATTCCAGCTAAGGATTCTCTTTTATTTCGAAAACGACAAGCTACACACATTTACAGGCCTTTACTACACAACATAATTCCCATTGCTTCGTCGCAATACAACGCCTGCTTCAGTACAAATCTTTAAAAGACCTGGCGCTTACTGGTTAAAATGTCAAAAAAAAAACAGAGCTGTGATGTAAAAAGCATAAAAGTATCCAGAACCATAAACGGTGGACGCAGAACGCGGTGCCTCACCCACAAGGAGGTATGAGTCATCCATTTGCCCCCAAATACGAAAATGATTCACTGCGGCACGGTTACGCCATCGCTAAAAAGCAAGCGTACGCTCGATGACGTCATTGTCATCCCAGCTGATTCGCGAATTTTCGCACTTTCATCAGAATCTCGTGATATATAAGCTGTTTGATTTCAGGAACGGCGCCTCATCCTATCCTCACTCACAAATCTTCCTCAGGTTTGCTTCTACCGAGTTTTCCTGGCATTTTTTCTTTCTTTCTTTTTATTCTTTCGTGCAACGGAAATCGGAAATAGTGGATTGTTGTTTTAGTATAAACGCTGATTTCTTTCTACAAAGTGTTGATCTAAATGTCGCTTTCGAATGTGCTATGTGGCTTAGTTGGGCTGCTTTATGAGCCGTTGCTTGATGCTATGAGCTTTATAAGTTCTGAACATATGTTAGCTTTTAAGATCAGACTAATATTCTAAAACCATCACCTATGGCAGAACTGCCCAATCTTGGACGACACTGTGGCGCCGAGCTTTGCAATCTGTTGGGTAAGTGATTGTTTTTTTGCTATTGGATAAAAATATCAGATCACCCACTCTCCTGGAGTGCATTTCCACGGAACTTTGCATTGTAAAAGAGAAAGTTGTTTGATAACAACTAACTTGTATGCAATTTCTAAATTAACTCCAAAACACTGAATCACGACAAACTAAATGAAATTTTGATGACTTATATCCGTTGATAACGCTGCCATTACAGATTTCCTCCCGATTCGATGTGATGCCTGTTCTGGGACATTTTGGTGAGTTCATCCCGTCATCATCCTTCATTGTTTAATAATTTAGTTTTCCCATTTCGTTTTACTACTGCAACATTACATTATTTCAGTTTATCGCACTATACCTACGAAGGGCATGATTGTAAACAAGCGTACAGGAAGGTTAGTAATTTCAAACGTTTCGTGCATTCTTTTCAGACCACACCTGCTAAAATTGTTTTACACGAAGCAGTCTTGTGTTCGGTTGTCTTCCACTTTTTATAGTTTACAAATTCTATTGCTCTAGGACTCTCTATGGGAGTGAATATTCCAGCGCTTCCCTTTGCTACAACAAATGAATAATTTTTTTCTAATGTCTGATTTTCAGAATGTGCAAGTTCCCACCTGTCCGTTGTGCGACAAACCTGTACCTACCCCAAAAGGAGTTTCACCGGACATTCAAGTTTGTCAAATATTCTGATAAATTTATCGAGATCGAACTCATAGACAACTTTAAGGTAGACCAACATATTCAAAACAATTGTGCTCAAGGTCCGAAAAAGAAAATTTTCGCCAACAGGTGCACCGTGAAAGGATGTAAAAAGAAGGAGGTCGGCCATCTTTTCTTGAGTTTGTGACATCATTAATCGCTTTACTTCAGCTTGTTCCAATAACTTGTCCATCTTGTCATCAAAACTTTTGTCTTGGTCATCGTCACGAGAAAGATCACAACTGCTCTCAAACCAAAGGCAGTCCTGCTCTCAGTAGAGCTGCGTGAGTCTTTTTGATTACCAGTCCCATTCTTCTTCCTCTTCGACACTGCAAAAGAGTAGCAATGAAACCCTATAAGGAGTTTATTTTTAGTGCGGCTGCATTGGCGAGAAATCAAGGAGGACAAAATTGTGCTAGTCAAGCAAGAAATACGGTACGTGCTCCGGCTATTCTGTGCTGTGTGCACCTTGGCAACTAAAGATCCCGTTTTACCAATTTTTCTTGTCCCCCTAATGGAACTATTCTCATTTCAGCAAATTTCTGAAGATGAAGCTTTGGCAAGAGCCTTGGCAGCATCTATGGACGACGTCAATATCAGCCCCGAAGAGCGAGATAGGAGGTTAGCCGAACAGTTGCAAGCTCAAGAATATGGGTTAGTCTTTACTTAATTCTATGAGGATTGTTACTGGGTGTAATCCGAAACAGTAATGTGGTACATGCTTACCTATTCAGGGGTAACCCAGTTCGACAGCGCAACACACGGGCTGCCTCTGGTAACACTAACAACTGCTCCATATCGTGATGTCTTTGAACAAAACTTACTTTCCTATTCCTCTTTCATTTATGCAACTCACTGGTACTTAATAGATTCCTAACGAGTCCTCACGATTGGACCTTGAGTGAATACCTCGGTTTTTGGGACCAATCTCGCATTAACTAATTCCTGACATTAAAATCTTTCGGAATGTATGCTAGTGGGATAGTAGAGTGTAATGGCACCAAGCAAATGCCCAAAGTAACCGAAATACACACATTCCTTAAATTTACGACTTAGACCTCGTAGTAAAGAAACCTTTTAGATGGTAGCAAGTACTGGTTCATGATAGAACGGTGTGATTTTTACGTAAGCATGCCATGCACTGAAACGGTTCCCAATTTCTTCTAAACTATGAGTATGGGATGTAAATGTGATTCTTCTCGTTATGGTGATAATCCCTCATCTCTTTCAATTACTATCTTTCAACCAGTTTTCTTTCTGCTAGTCAGACTCTAAGTATGCATCACTTCATTATGTCGATAAATATTCCTTTTTTAGAAACTCTGGATAATTGCTAGGTTTGGATTTCATTTCTCGTTTCTATGCATCACTTAGTTAACGTGAATTACCCTGAAATTGGCTCCGATATTGTGTAAACCCGATCAATTTCTTGATTAAATCTGTATTTACAGTATCTTACCTAGCATTTTTTGTTAAGTTGATAATGTAAAGTTGTACATTAGTAAAGTTTATTTCATTGCTGAGTGCCCATTAAAACTGAAAAGATTCCGCAATATTCGAAGACCCGATTTAGCCCTGTATTCTCATCGAGCAGTGTTTTCTTCACACGGAAAATGGTTTTCATGTAATGCAACGGAATAACCGTTGATCCAGGCCGTGGGTTTAGTTAAGTAAAGGGGTTTAGGGATGGGTATAACCCATATAGTGTGAACTGGTGAATAAAAGCAAGATTATAGCAAAAACTGCCCGGGAGCTGATTGGTGTAAGTGAAACGGGAGGTGCGGAAGAGCTGCTTCAGTGAAGCGCCAGCTAATTTCTAGTTTTACAATGATCACAACAAAACTAATTATTAGTTTCACTGCTCCCTATAGTAAACATACTGCTTCAAACAATTAGCAACTACTACTCCAATCTGTAAAGTCGTAAAGAAGTAAGGGCTGCTCATGGGAGCCTGTGAAGGTAGCTAATAAGAATATCGTTTTACTTCCAGCCTAACTTACTTTTTAGAACGAAAAAACCAATGAACAAATCCGCCCAGAACATTTAAATTACCTTTTCTTATATCATTACCGTAATTTTGTATAATACTGTATTCCACCTTATGCACATAAACATGGAAAACAAAAAATATTGCATATGATAACGCTAGTTTAAGCGAGGTAAGGTTGATTACATTTTTGACGGTAAACGAAGCATGGGGGTAAGTCACTTCTTCTTTACTCAGGGCCATCTTATCGCCAACTCAGCGAACTTACCGGTAAGCTGCAGATGAAAACGCTTCTGCGACATTCTCTAAGACACCATTCTCCGTTTCATCATTACGGCTAGGATGAGAACGAAACCATTACCATGGTCTAGAAGCAAAGAAAGTGTAGACTTCACAAATGTAATAAAAATCCACAAACACAAGTTGTCCGGAGTTGGTAGGTCTGGGGAACCTGCTCTCACCTCATATTTCGTATATGAATAAGCCACAGGAGCTCGGAGTGGAATCTGGGTTGCACAGTGCAGTCCATGGGTAGCCCGGACAGTATCTGAAATACCGCGTGTGACGTCACCCAGCAGAATAAAAGTCTGAAGGTCTACTGAATCAAATGTACTACTGACAATCATAAATGGATCAAGAGGGTGTGACTTCTAGACCTATGGGCGTGGTTTGGAAAGACTCCGTCTGACCTACGTCGTGTGGACTTCTAGATAAAATCTTTCTCGTAAATGTAAAACAACAACTTTGGCTGTCAGCATGTCGCCATTGTAAACCTTTCTGCACGCAAACTTCCAATGATTATAATAAATGAACTGATATGTGAAACCCACCACAAACTAGGGTGGTTTTTAAAGTGATTGGTGAAAAGATTAGCGATAGCGCTTGCACTGCATAGATCACAACATAGGTGCCTACTTTGCCACGGTAATTTCGATAAATTGATAGCGATCATTATCGATTGTAGCATGATATAGCAAATAATCATAACTGATTGCCTTTCTCAGAGAGTAACTGCATGAGCCCGTAAAGAAAGTACCTTACCGGGGGAGGGTTTCAAATTTCCATGAAACTTTGAGTAGAGACCTAAGTACATATATCGATGAGGCCTGGAAAGTTATTAACAATGGAAACTTATGGAAATCAAAACTGCAAACTGAGTCTTCTAAAAAAGTTGTGAGGTTCAAAGTATGCATGCTCAAAGCATGAAGATATACTGCCAGTTGATAAGCCCAGTTGCCCGCGCTGACCACGAAGGTCACCGTGGCGTAGGGCAGTGTATCATTGGCCCCGTTAGTAAATATCATAAAGCTAAGGTGATTGACAGCAGAAAGTTCAAATTATTCAGAAATAGAAAATAAAAAAGAAGATTGNACACTAACAACAACGATAGAGTACGTACGGAGTATCTATTATTACACTTTAGAACTCATTCTTGGATCCGTTGGTGACTCTATCTGCAGTTGCTAGTATTATATGCGTATTGGGTAGATTCTATACTGTATGGTATATAGCAACAGGGACCGAAACAATCAGTAAGTCATCTAACCCCTGAAGTAGAACTTCTCAATTGTAAATGCAATAAAAGCTTTTATTATTGTTCTTCCTTCATTTCTTGGACCTCTATGCTATCGATGGCAATGCTATCGAACACTTGCTGTATAGCAAAATGGAGATGAGGTAGAAGATGGTAGCTAGCAGTCCTTCGTAACAATAAAATCGAAACTGAACTACTAAAAATCCAGTCAAGTCCAGTGCAGAGTAGATTATGGTAAAGATAAAGTCCTAACGAGCCTTTCAAGTATCCAACGATGTCAGGAGACCTTCGTTTCTGCGGATGATTTCAAAACTTTGGCGAAAAGTCTGATCAATCTGATCTATTGAAAGCTCTTTCATCTTCGCGTGCTTCTCGTCCCTGGCGTTAGCCCCGCGCCAACTTAGGTGCTACTGGTAGTCGCCACTTATTTCTTATAAAGACATCTACAGCATCTTTAATTCAAGTGAAACCTCTCCCTCCAACTTGCTTACTGCTTTCTCGTGATCGCTTGCCATCAGTAGAGTCCCTCGGGCTTAACATTCAAAAGTATTTCCCCTACATGAACTTAAGGCAGTATTGTCCACAAAACCGCAAACGGTGCTCTTTCGTCATCAATGGGACCGAGACTGCTTGCTCGACTCCATTCATGTCCTCATTTCTGAACTGGTAAAGTCACGCTCAACTTAGCCAAACTGATTCTGTACTTCATGGTTATTCCCTACCGTCCAGCACCTTGAACATCCTATAGACCGCTTACCGCAGAGGCGCCGTGAACACCATCCGTTCTATTCATGCCGCTACTATCCGTCGCTGCGTGAACCACGTTACCACCAGCGTAATGATTCCTTACGTACCATAAGCCTTCTATCTGTTCGGGTAAACTATTATTTATTGAAATCGTTGCATATGCAGCGATATCGCTTGTCCTGAGGGTCAGCTTCGAAACTTCTTATTTTATTGTGACTTCTCTTCGCTGCCGCATTGCAAACCTATTCGTAGGTCGATCACATACGGAGAGCGTTCTACGGTATAATTCGTGCATTACTAGTAGCATACAATCCGCTACAATTACATTTCATATCGCATTCCTTGCTACTTGAGCCCCCACTCCACGACATTTTTGCTTCCCGTTTGCATATCCCACGTACCCTCCTTCACCCTAATATTAAAGTTACAAATCTGCACGGAAAAATTTTGAAGAACCCATCAGAACCATCTGCGCAAAGATCATTTTATTTCAATCAAATCGGAAACTCGACATTATCATGACAAGGAACAGGACCGTAAATTGGGGAAAAATCTCAGAATATCAAATCCGGAAGTGCTTATCCAATGAAGGAAACTAAGGAAATGAAGATTTTAGTGCAGATACAAACAGATATAAAGGAGCATTTTGCATAACAGGAATGAATTTTCACCGACTCTTGATCAGGATAACGTGGTGCCTGTGATCATGGTAAACGGGTATTTTTCACATTTTCGCTACTTGATGTGTTCGCTTTTAGAAAATTCATTCCTGTTATGCAAAATGCTCCTTTATATCTGTTTGTATCTGCACGAAAATTTTCATTTCCTTCGTTTCCTTCATTGGATAAGCACTTCCGGATTTGATATTCTGAGATCTTTCCCCAATTTACGGTCCTGTTCCCTGCCATGATAATGTCGAGTTTCCGATTTGATTGGGTGAAGTGTAGTTGGGGGGTGCCAGCGCCCATTTGTACTCTGCGTCTCTGACACTGGCGGCAGAGTGNTGATATTCTGAGATTTTTCCCCAATTTACGGTCCTGTTCCTTGTCATGATAATGTCGAGTATTTTGTGCAAAAAGCTGGGATGGGGTAAAAATTGAACATCCATTTGGTTCACCCACCCCAGAGCTCCTTCCCTAACTTTTGGAAAGGGAGGAGCTCCGGGGTGGGTGTGATGATTAGATGGGTAAGAAATGAAGAGACGCAGAACACAAAAGGGTGCTGGCACCCCCCAACTACATTTTCACCCAAGAGTCTATTCTGTGCTTAACAGTAATGAAAATGGCACAGAGTCATACGATCTGCTCATGAAGGAAGACTTGTCTGAGAGGGGATTGCATTACATTTTACATTTAACGAATTGAATGGTCATGATGAGAGCATCGAATAAAAAAGAATTCTCGAAATTTCGTTCACATCATTTCTGGAGATCATGTTGCGGAGGCCGAGAAAGCAGTAGACCGATAACGAAGAGGAAGCCGGATCATTGCCGATGAATATTCGTAAATATTCAATATTGATATAATGCAGGTATCTGCCAGCTTCTGAGTTGCTCAAGAGCAAAATACAAGCAGGAGTGAGATCATAAAGGCTTAATGAGGGTAATCACAAGTACAGCTTCATAAGCAGTCAACGCGAAAGGTAATGGCAGTCAACTGGTGAGTACAGGGGGTAGGTTGAGTCTGGGCCGGGGATGCGACTAGGGTCGGTCATAATTAGAATCCAGAGGTGGTCACGACAACAGTTCCGATCCATATGACGATGCGAAGGACGATGCGAGGTCTGAAGGACATACATGTTCAAAGAAACCGGTAATCAATGAATGATTCGCGATTTTTACTTCTATGGGGTTAGTCCTATTCAGAAGGTTGAGGAACTGAGTGTATGATGGACTGTGGGTCGTAGGATGAATTATGTTTATGCTAATCAATCGACAATCGTAGGAATCATTGTACTGAAGATACAATAAATTTCCTAAAATAGTGGTCCGAACTGATATTCATTTACTTCTAAAGCGACATATGTTATTTAGAGATGACTGTCAAAGCATTGGTGGTTCTGGCAGTTCCGTTGAATATATGTGCTAATGTGGTCAAATGTATTGACGCCCGTTACACGCTTTCGTCCACAATGCCACTGTACGTTGGGGTTCAGGTCAGTTTGAAAAAATTTTCCCAGGAAAGGATTCGGATGAAATCTCTGTGAGCACTGGACCTCAGTAGAAAAGCTTCAGAAGGTACTCAGCAGAATCGCCACGACAGGAAGATATAACGCTCTGGCCAGGCTGATCTTACTTGCTTCTTACTTTTATCATTTGATCCACAAGATCAAACCCAATCGAAACAACCCCCCCCCCTCCATCCTTTCTCTCTGAATGCTTCTTCCCCGCCCCTAATCCCCAATCCCCCTTTACTAATTTTTATTACCAATCTTGTCGTAAATTATGTTAGTAGGGTTCTTTACTAGCACCAGATTTGCCAACAAATAATTTGTCACTTTTTGCCCCCCCCCCCCTCTCCAAGTCAGTACAAAAAAGATTGCCAATAAATCGACCATACATTCCGATTGGAACTCGAAACCATGGCGCCTGTATGCTTACTCGTTGGCCCAATATTGTGAAGGAATGCGCCGTGCCTCTAACTTACCTAAAAAAAGAGGCTTCTGGTACATTGAATGAGTCGGAAAGCTAGCCTGCATTTAGCAAACCTTCCCATTCCAAATAAGTAGCACCAGTACGAATGCAAAGCTTGGTCGCTAGGGCAGGAACAGACTCTACACAAAAATCGTAAAAGCGGTACCTCTGGCTACTGAAAAAATTCAGTACCTACTATGGAACTCTGCTCTTCATCAAAAATATCAAAACTTTTCAGTCTTTCCTTATATTTCTGGAATTCCTTTTCGTCCTTATAGTCTACATCAGTGACAACACCTTCGGTATGTGTTTGTTTAGACTCTTTCATCAATACCTTCTTCTGTCTTTCTCCTATTTGATGAAAATTGTAATCTAACCAAACATTCGTTTTATTGGCTCAGGCTATCGACGACGCCTATTGTACTGTTATTATTTCAGCTATCAGCTTTATCTTTGATATCGCATTTATTACATTCCTTACGGCTAATATGGAGCTTGTGGTGTATCTTATTGATCGTAGTTTACGTGCTCTGGATAGGGAGGAAGATAAGAAAGAGCTGTAAAGAGGAGGACTGCCAAAACGAAAGAGTTTGTGGAAGCATCATTTAGTGTTGCGATGTCGTTGCTGTTGTAAAATAATAAAAAATTCCGAGAATTAGTTTTTTGCATGTTTTTTTTGGGTACTGTAACCATAGAAAGGCACTAGCTATCCAGAAATCTGCTTCAAAAGAAAAAACAGTATTTCCAGAAATCCTAATTCACTTCTATTTAGTTACCCTAGAATTTAACAGTCGGACTTTGAGAATTCGTATGTTGATCAAAGGGGGTCAGCCGAAATTTCGAAAATCAGGGCACCACAAATCAATTCGAATTCAAGAAGTCCAATGGCCCGATGTTCAGCAATGCATCTACAGCCTTTGTAAAATCAAAATCAAGTTCTCACATTAGAAAGATTTTTTAGAGTAAGATAAAGGGTAAAGTAGCAATTTGGAAGGACCAAATCACTCTGAAAGATATGAGCACAGAATAAACAACACAATTGGTCGGCTTGCTTATGTACAAGACAGTTCCCAAAAAAGAAGTTTAAAAAATTTTGAACCAAAGCCAAGTACGTGGCTCATACCTGAGGGCTCTATCAACATCAAATAACACACCTTCCTACATTTATTACAATTTAAAGCTGTTTATTCGCAGAATCGGATAGAACACATTAAAGACGATGATAGTGACGAAAATGGAAAAAAAGAACATAAACGCACTAGACAACATGTAGAGGAGCTGTGGAAAAAAATCGATAACGATCAATATGCAGTTCAAACGCGTATGAACAGAAGCTCGTGGCGATATATTTGTATTATTAATGAACAAACATACTGAAATAATGATCACGTTTTTTTTCTTCTTCTAAAGATGACGAAAGAGACAGATCGCTTCCGCGCAACTATAGTAATCGCGCGTGCGCGTTAAAAATCAATAATCGTCATCATAAAAAAATAAATAAATCAGTGACACATCACAACATGAAGTTCATTTCTGCTATGTACAATGCCCTGTGTTTATAATGGGAAATAATAAGAGGGACATAAAATATAGAATTGCTTCGCTAGCCGGGATATACGTACAAACACGTTTTCATTTATGTGAAATCGAATACAAAATCAATAAATCAATACATCGCTATGCTATAGCACGATTTGAAAAGTGAGTGAACTAGAGGAGAAAATAAAAAATGATAAAGTATGAACATGATATATCTGAATAAGGACCACAACCAACTAACACGCACACACGCCCACGCATATCCAGTGTTATCGATTGAAAATAATTCCGAAAAATATTGATTTACATTTTGCAGAAAATATGACTGATTGGTAAATAATAATCGTTATCCTGGTTCGCACAGTATTAGCAGACACACGCCAGAATGACCCAGGAAAACGAAATCGACATGAAATTGTAGCTCGTGTGCTATTTTTCTGGGATGCTTTGGACCCCCTTTCCCTGGACCGTTTCCCCAGGCCATTTGGGGTCCACAACTGCGACAAACTCGGAACCACGACTTTAAATTATGTAATCAGTACACGAATATTTATGAGAAAATTTTTGAATGATGGTGCCCCGTGTTATCGATTGGATCAACTAATTCGGGACACTGTAGAAACCTCGGACTAGCAGGTGAGATGTGGTGGTACACCGACTGATACACATGAATGAATGAATGAAGAACGAACGAATGATGAATGGATGAATGGATGAACGCATGAACGTAGAAAATCATGAAAATAGACAAACCGAGTTCAAGAAATAATATTTTCTGTACAAATGTTTCGCCCACAGATGTTGTTGATATGTGAGAAGCATGCCATTAAAATTACGGCTACCGTAATCACCACATGCCAATAACGGCTACCGTAACGCCAACAAGATACTTGTCATTTTACTTCACTTGTTGTTGTAGATAGTTACTTTCGGACCGTAATCTAGTGTATATGGCAAAACCGAGCGGCGGTGGTGACTATCAGCCAATAAGTCGACTTTTTATGGTCCGATTACAGTAACCAGGCGCTACGGTGCCGATATTGTACAGTAGGTGTCTTGTCCGTTGGTTTACAGTTTTCAGACGCGACATTGGAAATGATGTTCTGATCGTTGCTGCTGCTGTTGACGTGTTGTAAGGGGCTGGGTATCGACATGCCCATCAGCACCCGATGATGCACAACTGGTAGCCGTCATTGTGTCCGAGCTATAACCACCATCTCTATAGAAAAAAATACATAAAATTGTATAACTTTGTCCTGATTTTTTTTACTAATCCTAACTTTTTACGCGATGCTCTAAACCTCAACTCCTATAGGCCAAACGGCACAGCCAGTACCTAGGCTTAATAACCATGAAAAAGCACCAAGGTATATAATGCGGGAGTTCTACCGCACGGCAAGGGAGGACTTCTGAGACTTTAAGACAAGCTGCGACCACTTCAATTTCTCAGTCGCTCGGTGGTGTTTCAACAAAGGTGATGGATGATTCTTCTTCCAGTCTCCTAGGATTCCAGGGACTTACAGATTGATTTCGATCATTACTAATTATTATTACTGATTATGATTACGTCGATGTTGATCTGATTCCTGGCTCCTAGACTTGAAGTTACTTCGAAAACCTATTGCACCCCCTCACCCGCCCTCTCCAAAAAAACTCAACGCTCTGTGGGGGTTGGAAGGTCGCAGACGACTTATTCTAAGTACCTTACATATCTCTCAATTACCTTAAAGATTCAGGAAATTTGAAAAAAAAAATGGAAAAATTGAAAATAAGACGCAAAAAGAGACCCGTACACAGTGGAGAGAAGGCTCTCGCTTTGGCCATCTTCGTGAGAAACCTTCCGCGAAGTTGGTGGCCATTCGACTAAATGTGGAATTGATCCGATCTGCTTCGAAGCTGACAATCGTACACATGATGATGTTTTTTCAAAGGACTTCTAAAAAAGTTTGGATTTTATCAACAGGGCATGAAGGGGAGAAAAACTTTTGCCAATTGCTACTTGCATTACTTATTAACTTTACCAATCAAAGAACTATTTATGCCAAGCTTGGAGAGAAGTCATGCACTGGCCAAATAGGTAAGTGTGACAAGGAAGGGACGCATTTGCTTGAGGTGGGAGGTGGGTATTTCACTGTCGCTACCAAACAACACCTGGTGCCACCCCTTTTTCCTTTCCCAGCATCCGGTAACCGTGGCAAGCTATAGGAGACATCCTCTACTGACCCAGCAATACAACAGTGTACTAGGAGTAGCACGGGAGGGAGGGATTATGTAGGAATACCATCACCCATACACTTTTTCGAATTTGAAAGGTCCAAGACTTCATATCGTCACAACTCAATTACCTTTGTATCACCACGACTTCTCTTGTAGAGAATGAGTAGCAACACAATAAGTCCAATCATGGCGAGAGTCATGAAGCAGAGTCCGACCAATGGTAGATGATTGGGGGATGCAACTGGAGGTGCTACTGACGAACCGACACCTTCACTGAACGCCACCCAGCCTTGATCTGAAGTAAGAAGAAAATTCAGAATAAAGAAGTTAGAAAAGTAAATATCGAAACACCAACTGAAAATACCTCTGGCTGTACTATTAAGAATTACCTTACCTTTACATAACGGGCAGCAATGTCCTTCAATGGGTACCGGCTCGACACATTGAGGGCAGACGAGTTGGCGGCATACGGTTCGTCCACCCGGTTGGCACGAACAGTTGGTGCAAGTGTCCTGACGCCATTCTTCTCCGACAGCATAAACTGACGAATCAAATGAGCATACAGATGTCGAGAGGGCGTCTATAATGAGTCGGAATTACGGAAGCACACCACAGCCTTCCACAAGAGAGCTACAGTTCCTTCAGAGCTAGTGCCTAGTACTTATGGCCACCTCTTACTGCCTTACCTTCACAGACAGGGCAACATTGCCCTTTGATGGTAAGTGGTTTCCCACGGCAGGTGGCATCTGTGTCGCACTGCTGGCGATAGCACACAATCTTTCCGTCCAGGCCACATTCACAAGATGTGCAGTCGTCCGTTCTCCAAGAAGCACCTAAACATGACTGTATCATCTTCGGTTGGGCTAAATCATAGAGGTGTTCCCTCTTATCAAGAGCGGAGTTACCACTGATAAAGGCCCTAGACCCAGTAAAGGGAAATGAAGGTACTGGAACAGAGACTGCCGTAAAAGAAATGTAAGTTTTGAGGAGAAGTATTTAATACAGGAATTTTCCACCTTGGAGACAATTTTCTGCTTTATCTGCTGGGAAATCACTGAAACCTATTCTTTAGTCCGCTTTCGAACCCTAGGTGATGATTTTGAAAAGAAACTGGATCCTGGGATGGCCCAATACTAGAATGGGGAAAAGGCAATGGTAATGATAGAATAGTCGGTTCTAGAAGGAACACGATGCTGAACNTAGGTGATGATTTTGAAAAGAAACTGGATCCTGGGATGGCACAATACTAGAATGGGGAAAAGGTAATGGTAATGATAGAATAGTCGGTTCTAGAAGGAACATGATGCTGAACTCGTCATTATGAAGGCAATACACAAGATTGAAGAAGATTTCTCTTAGGAAGCAGTGACATTAGCCTCGCACTTCTCTTAGAAGTTATAGCTCTCCTAAATTGCCCCTCAGAATCCCTCTTTTTGTGTGATACTCGTTTTATCTGGAAGAGAAGAGAGAAGGGAAGTGATGAGGGCGATAGTATGATTAAAAAATCTACGTGAGAACAGTAACTGCAAGTCCTATTGGGAGCCAAGCTCAGGATCGAATTGCTTTTCGGCGACTTGAGAACGGAAGTCGTTAATCTGTGGTGAAAGCAATCTTACTAACCAGCCATGTGTGCAGTACCATAGCCATCGGTGCAAATCACTGACGAATCGGGTGTTCCGGTTGAGTTGGGTGGACATCTGGAAGAAAATATCTCATTATTCATGACTTACATTGACATAATTCATAACAAGACAAAAATCCTAAGCAGTACCTAAGGCAGCATTGGTCGTCCTGATGTAGAATGGGATGGTTACAGGCGATCGGCGGGCATTCGACGGCGCGGCATAGGACATGACCGACACGACATGTGCAGGAGACACACGGAGCCAGTTGCCAGGTCTCTCCATCTAGAAATTCGATTTTTATAATACAATCCAAAACTGCATGGTATGGAGTTTTACGGGGCTCTGCCCTAATAAGTACCTGTGAATATTCGACCAGATCCCGGTGATTGGCACACGGTGTGTTCGTGCTTTGATACGAGCACTGATTTGTTCGACGTGGCCATGCAAGATGGGCAGCATGCTCCTGAAACTGCTCTGATTAGAACCCTACATAGTTCCTGCTTGGGAAGCTGATGGAGTATGACTCTCTACCTTCTTCTTGTATCCAGCTTTGTTCTGGACAATCATCTGGACGAGGAGCGCAAGAAATTAACGAGCAGTACTCCTGTAAAGCCAGAGTACTTCTTTTTTGCTAATTCAATCTACTAAAAGCTTTCCTCAGCCGAGCAGTACGTGCTTGAAGACAGCAACCACACTCGGCGCACCGGAGCGGTTTAGTTGTCACCCAAGAAGACCGGTCTGTTCAGATCGCCCAGAGAGGTAGACCGTTTTCAAAATAGGACCTCAAGACATACCTGTTTTTGTTCGCAAAAGCAGTGTCGGCAGCCATCACTCCACCATTCACCTCCGTCCCTTTCGGCGATACGGCCCGATGCGGTGAGCGAGATGCATTTGTCCCAACCCGCTATACGTCCGATTTTCTCCGGTATCGTCAATTTTGCTTCTATACGTGAAATTGCTGAAAAGTGATCGATAAGCATAAAAACAAAGCACCAACTGTACAAATAAGACAGAAAAAGGATTTCGTAGTCGTTTCGCAATAGGACAGCGCATCGCCACAGTGGAGCCCTATGCTGTTCATGCACAAGCCATATAATTGGATATCACCCGACTGGTTATATTTTTCAATTCTATAGTATATTTCTGATAGAAATATTGGCTGGTTAAGCGGTAGTACTGGATGACTGTCGGACTGGATACACAGGCTCGAAACACACTGCATGATTTCTATAGTTTGCATGAGGATTGGGAAAGCACGGCATCCTGGACTAATCAACGGCAAGAGCCATCGTTTCACCCAGTTTGACATAAGGTTTTTACAATAGTAACCCACTCCCATAACCAGGAAGAACAAGAAGATGGAGCATCCGACCTCGGTCAATCTCAACCCGTTATGGCTATCGCTGTTTCACAACTCATTCTACGCTCACAAGGGTGTATTTAATGAGTGGTTACTTTTGGGTAAGGTTTGCTGCACTAACCCTCAACTCGGAAAACGCGAGCTGCTCGCCTTGACGATATTCAAGAGGCTTTATCCTCTCAAAGCGGGCGCTGAGACAACTAGCCAAGTGTCGCCGCGCGGATTGAGACTCCCACTACGCCTTGTCTTCAAAGGGAATCTACCTAAGTCGAGGGGATGAAAATGAGTGAAAAGCCTTCACATAAATGAAATTACCTCTGCATTTGCACACTGGACATCCGACGCTGTTCGTCTCATAACCGTAGAGGCAATGCTTGAGACATTGATGAAGCGGTGGGCATTTTGCGCATTTACATACAACACAACCGCTGGCATCTTTCGTATAGCCATGAGCACACTGCCTGAAAGCCTCTCGATCAGCTCGTTTCCCTTGATTTATGGGTAGAAACTTCACTACGCAAGTGATCAACTCACTTGTCACAGTTGCGAGCAGAGAGTTCAGGGCAACGACCTGGACGACTTGTGGGAACGCATTCACATTGGAAACAGCCACGTTCATCTCTTATTAGACCGGCTTCACATCGTAACGGGCAGTGCTCAATCGATGGACAGGACACCGGCATTGTTAGCAACAGTGGTTCTGAAAAATCAATAACAATCAATAAAGCCGTTTCCCGAAACAAAGCTAGAGAGCGAGTCATGGCGGCCCGTTCGACCTACGAAGCAACTGGAGCTTACCGTCACATACAGGACAGCACTGTCCTTCAACTTTACGTGGGTTTTCACATTCTGTGCTGCACATGTGTTTTTCACATAGCGGTGTGCCATCTTCCGAGCAAGTGCATCTGAAACGTTACTTTCAAAATCAAAAATTGAGCAATTCGAAAAAAAATCCTACAACTTACGTTGTACAGTCATCTTTCTGCCAACTTTCATTTTTGCGTTTCTTTTCGAGCTTTTCCGTTTGACATCCAACACACACTGGGCAACATTCACCGTCCGGTATTACAATCCATGAGCATTGAGCTTAAAAAAGAAAACATTCATGTTCTACCTGAACTACTCAATCGATTTATTTATTTTTGTGATTTTGTGTAGGCTGGACAACAGAGGCAACATAAATGACAACGATGGCAAAGTTTTCCATATCGATGGTCACTAAAATCAAAAGAAGTTTGGCAATTAGGTGGATATCATTAGGGATCTCAGGCTGTCCCTTTGTTTAGGTGAAAATGTGAGTGGAGAAGAAAGGGGGCCCCCTACTTTTCTAACACTAGGGACAAGAGCGTAGAGAAGGAAGGTTATCCGGCTGTGCGGGTCTGTAATGGCGCTGGAACGTTTTTCTAGCCTGGAAATATGGTTTTTCACTTAAGCCCCAAAAGGTAAGGAGCATTAGCGATGATTACCGTGCAAAAAGCTAGGATGGGAAAAAATTAGACATTCCTTCTTTTTCAAAAGAGTAAGCGGTAGCGTGCTAGCATACTAGCCTGCTTGGAGAGCATCATGAGCCCGCAAAACCAGTTACTCCTGCTTCTCTGCGCTTTAGCGCCTAGTGTTAGAGACAGGGTGTGGCTCCAATCAACTACATTTTCACCAGTTTCGACTTCAAAGTCTACAATTACATTTAAAAAAAAGAAAAAAGTGTTTTTCCGAGATTTCATAAGAAAAAAGGTAACTTAAAATTTGAAGTCTCATCATTTGCCATTAACATTTCGCCGATTTATAATGACTATTCTGGTTCATATTCGCTGAAGGATGGTTAATCACACCTTGAACGACGGTAACTCACCAGGTGTTTTAGGACAGGTCATTTTACTGCACACAGCGACTCCTTTCTTACATCGACATACTTCACATGATGATGTATGCCATTCTTGCCCGTCCGAATAGGTCTTTCCATCTCGAATACACGATTTTGACTGAAACAATACGGTAGGTATGGTTACCACGAAATTGCTTCGAGCAAAAAAAACATAATGGAATTGATTAGAGAATTCGCGAAAGTGTCGAAAGGGACCTAGAAAGTTTTTCGAAAGGGGATCTTAAGAGAATCAAGTTATCTACCCAGAATCCGGTACATTCCCAGGCAGTCCTGAAATTCTGTTTCATTTGAATTTCCGCTTAATTTAATCTGCACATCAATAGAGTTAGCCCTCGAGATTCATGACATGGGTTGTCCTTTCCTTATCTCTTTGACCAGTACATAAGCGGAAGCATAAGTAGGTAGCGAATAGTAGCCGTGCTATCGTAAAGGTCCACTCCACTCTAGAGCATCGTTGCCGGGTCACTAGCATCATTCCCGACCAAGGGGATGAATATATCGACGTACCTAACCTACTTATGTACTTGCCTGTTCATTTGTCTATCTATTCTCTCAAAAGGGAGTCGCAATCAGTAATAAGTTGAATGAAAAGGGAAGAAGAATCTAATCCTTAGTCAAAAAAGCGTTGTTATGGGTGTTGGTGCACCAGCTAAATCCTGTACTACCAGTCAATATTAGACCTAACCCAACCAAATGTCTAGCTGACCTATACCCAAAAGTCGAATTCGCGGAGGAGTTTTAAAGATAACTGCCTGACGTTCAGCCATCTTTCATAATCATGAGCGGCCCTCTTCAACTGCTCGAAGATCTTTTCGTTCTATAAGTTTCTGAGCATAAACTTACAAGTAGTTGCGGATCGTCTTCGCATGTCCACTCATCACAGCATCGTCCAGGTGTTCCGGTACCCTTTCGGATGATCAGAAGTCGTTTACCCTCATCACAAACGGCAGGGCGGCATACGGCTGCTCGACAGCGACATCTAAAAGTCAATAATATCACTTACTAAGCCAGCTCCCACACAGACCTTATCAAACCACGAGATCCAGTTGCTTCCCTGAGACATAGGACCATAGGCTTGAATCCTTACCCTGGTCTTATTGGACAGCACATTCCAGGTGGTACGTGCTCAGCAGGGCGAACACTGTCCAGTGGGCAGTCAACACCCTCATCTTCATCGAACACTTGTGGTGGGCAACGAACTGCCTCGCAATGAACTTCTGAAGAAAAGGTATAGGAGCGTTACTGTAAAGACTAGACTGTAGAAAAATAGTGTAGCCTACCCCGTCTCCGGCATTCAAATACGTCACAACACGAGCCAGGCTGATTTCCGCCTTCTTTTACAAGCACACGTTCCATGCCTTTTTCACAAATTGGAACGAATGCTTCGCATTTCTGGAAATTATATGGTATTTCATCGAAATCCAACTTACAACGTTTCATGAGAAACCATTGGAGAAAGGTTTTGAATTTCTGAAGACTCACCTGTAAATCACAATGGCAAGTTCCCGGTCGTCCACAGCATTCCCCAGGTGGTGGCGGAAGTATGACCTGTCGTGAATCGGCCGGACATTCCGGATGGAATACTACAGAACATTGCGCTTTTAGACATCGTTCAGGAAACATTTCTGAAACGAACTATCAACATATCGATCATGCAATTCTGATTGGCATATTTTTGTAAGTTAGGAATTGTAAAAGCAAAATATAATCGAAAGCGGACCAGCTCATGACGCTCTAAGCATTCAAGCAAAGATTCCAAATTCAAACTCTAAGGAAGTGCAAGAAGATAACAATGAGTAAATTCGACAGATTGAAACAAGTTGTTCAGGATAAAGATAGATATCGATTGAGTGGATACGGTTTCAGGTTTCATAAAACTGCCCAGAATCATAATGAACAAACAAAAAGACTTCGAGAAGCTGCAACGGCCAACGGGCTAGCTGAGGTAATATTACTGCAAATTGATACCATTCGTTACAACTCGATAGAATCAACCAGGGCCAATTCCTTCGAAAATGAAGATGTTCAACAATACAGTCGAAAGTTTTGCATGGTATATCAATACGAGTTCATGCACTTGCAGAACTATTAGTCATCGTTTCTGTGAATAGAAAAATCGACTAGCTTACTTGACAATGAGAAAGACGATCATGACCAAATTGCAGATCGTCCTTACAACTACTAATAAGCTAAAATCAAAAATATGCAAAAAATTGCATTGTCCATAGCCAACAATATGTGCATAACTAGTAATGGATGCAAGGACTTCGAAATGGCGGAGGATCAATGTCAAAAAGTCTTGACAAAAAAATCTGGAATAGTAACTCAACTATATTTGAACTCCTACATGAAAACCAAGCAGATATGTGAGCAATTCTGCAAAAAGGTCAAGGTTCTAAGTTCAAAAATAACTGTATAATTTGAATACAATGAATACAGGCCTGCTACCTGCGAAGTTTTCCATTTCTTCAGGATTGACCAAATGGTATCAGACCGAATTGGGAGAATGAAAGAAGATCTGTGGATCGGCCGCCACGGTCAAAATCATTACAATTTCTTGTAATGGCCTAGTGTGTGGCGTATCTAGCAAAAAGACCAATTCATACGAATAATTCACTCCAGAGCACAGGCAAGACCAAGTGACTTCTGACCCTTTTGCGACTGAATTGTTTATTTACATCTCCAAAATTATATAAATTAATCAACAAATTAAAAAATGCCATGACAAAACGAGAAATGGGAATTATAAACAAGTTCAGCTATATCCTGACTGTTAGTCCGGACTGTTTGACTTGTTTGCTTTTCATTTATTCACAACGAGATCCCTCTAATACATCAGGGATCTGCTTAGGGAATTCTCCACATCCATCAAAAGAGACACGAAGGAGGTAATTAGCGGGCAACCTATTCATTTGGTCATTACTTTGTTAGGCAATCAGGAGCATATGCTACCCGTTCCGAAAGCAATTACCGAGGTCAGTACTGTCCATGATTGACTGCACCCCTATCATCAGACATCGTGTACAACTGTACTAATAATTAATTATTAATTTGGACTATGCAAAGCTCCAATTATCAAACAGTTGGTTGTAAAAAAAAGTGAGAGGCTTGGAGAACAACAAGATGGAAACCAAGTTCGTGTATACAACTCTGAAATTGAAAACCGCCCACGTTGGTGTGATCCAGTCTCTAAGCACCTTCGTTTCAGTGGGGCGCGGACCTTCGAGTTGAAAAAACTCAAAAAGCAACAGCATTCGGTTGAGTGTTTGCATGTTTCTAAGCAGGAGGTGAACGCATGGCGCATTCTGATGAGATTTGGATTGAGTTCAAATTTGTACAGGTTTCATCTGGTACTCTCCATGAAGTACTCTGAGTTCAAATTTGTACAGGTTTCATCTGGTACTCTCCATGAAGTACTCTTCTCTTTACAGAGGAAATAAGTTCATACAAACATGCTTACCATAAGGCATTATTACCGTATTTTTACATAAAAGCGAATGTGCTCTTTCCAAGTCAAAAGTTAGTGGGGGCACAAGTGAACTACCTGAAGATCACCGTATCTCATAGCAGAAATTGCAGAAAGGCTCTCCGAAGAACAAACCTCTATGACTTTTATCAAACGATGATATACCCATTAGCTGATATCAGAAAAATTTATCATCGTTTCGAAACCATTTTCAGTTATCGGGACAGAAATACTGATTGTATGCACGTTAAGCGAACGTTCGAAAATGACATTTTTTAGAAACATCAGGTGTGCAAAAATCTGCCACTAGTGAAGTATTTAAGGATGGAATATTTCATTTGCATCAAGTTATGCAGCATTTACTTGTAAACACGACAATATACCTTTTGCATTTGCTCGGTGCCCCATGGGAATGACAAAAGAAGCCAAAAACAACCTGTTGCTGTGAACAAAGATTCACTATGCCTGATGCTAAATCGAATAATATAGACTGGAAGCATCTCAATGGACGGCCGTCGTCGTCTGACCTTTCTAAGTACTACATCCATCTCTAGGGATCACTTCCTAGCCAGGATGAGTTCCCGCGACGTCGGCGCTTTCCGTGAAGAATTGACTAGACCGATCTAGTCAGAAAATAATGATCCCATCTATACGATATAAGCGCCGTAGCGGTGGAAAGGGGAAAGTGTAGGCTGATTTTACTCAAATTTCCCTCTGAAACAAACTTAATGGCCATTATAACCACTGACTTACGAAACGGCTTGAATGGATTAATCCAAACTACCCCACGCGTGATTCAGACATTGTCCAGCCAGGACATCCGAGTTTCCATCCTTCCAAGACTAATTCATCAGTGACAGAATCGGCGCTTTAGATCAAGGCACAAACTCTTTCGTCAGCTGGCCCTTAAAGTCGTATTATAGACCGATACGCATTCAAATGTTACCACTAGTGGAATCCAAAAATCGGAAGGCATAGGTGGATTCGTATATAGGGTTGATCAGTGCACCGAATCTTCATTTTTTCACCCATCGGTAGTCAATGATATTTTGCTCCCTAATACAATAAGAGCCGCCTAGATCTTGAAAGGGCGAGGGTTTTCCAACTGATTTCAACCATGAATCCTCNATAAGGCTCGGCAGTTTTCACCAAGAGACGTTTTGGAGCCTTCGCCAAAGCGTAGGTTGATGGAAAACAAATAGAACTTGTCTGTCCTGGCATAATAACAATTCCAAGGCAGCCAGTCTTTAGCCACATGAAGGCTATCAATCGGTGTAGCATAACCTTGCTACACTTTGATCTTTCTTGAACTACTGAAAAATCCAAAGAAGCTGCCCAGTTGTGACTGTGTGTCTTATTAGGGAATAATCAAGGCGTATCATGAGCTGACTTTTTACTTTCTCAAAATAAACTGTAAATGAACAGTGGACTTTAACGTTTGATATTGAACGACTCTACATATACACCGGAAATTTGTTTGAACAGCGATTGTCCCCGGAGAGCCCTTGTGGTTAGTGCTAAGTCGCGCTTCTACATAGCGCCACGTTGGTAAAACAAACTCAGAAAACTTTTTACTTCATCAGGACTTCTCGTGAACGGCACACAATTCATACGCAGATAAATCCACACGTAGGTAGAGTGGTGGGTGTGCTATTGCATCACAGTCTTACTGTACTTTTGATAGTTCTTTGAGCCTCATTATTTCCGTTTCCACTCAACTTTAAGAGCATAGAAATAACCTTCTTACCCTCTTCGGATCGGATGTCATCCACTTCACATTCGGTCCAATATGGTTTTGCAGTCAAAGAGGTCTCAGGAAAAGTCCGACGAAGATAAGTTTCCGAAAGAAAGAGTTGCACGATTTCCTATTGAATCGGTGGAAAATGAACAGGATCAGATTTCAGGATTTCATCTACTTCAAAGATTATAAAAAAAAAGAATTCTCCTTAAGGGACAAATATAGTGATGTTGCCAAAAATCAAGAGAAAGACCCAGATAGGGGGGAAGAAAACTATGTTAGACATACAACGCCCTAATTAACGTGTTTTACCACTTATCAAATAAAGTACTATGCAACTATGACTGTATAATAGTTTGCTGCGGCTATAATCTGGAATGGGATACCGCGTAGGCGGTTACTTTTCTCTGGGAGAACATTGGGACATCTAAGAAGGATGGTCGGAGAGGGCAAGTAGCCAGAAAAGGCGCTAATATTTCTCCGCTTAATTGGATCGGTTTCTCACCAACCATTTCGACAACACTTTCCCAGAAAAGTTTATAGCCCCTGATCGCAAAGTAAAGACATCAGACTCTTTGATTACAAATAGCAAATCTGGCTTACATTTGAACTACTCTACGACATTGAAAAGAGCATGTAGGGCACAGGGCGCGTTCCAGAAAGGATTAATTATTCCAAGCACTATATCACAACAAACAACACAGGGATAAAGAACCGTCTGACAAGCGTTGTCTTCCCATGGAAATTGGACGAATAAAGAAAACAGTGTGATAGGATCAGATGGACCAGCAGCTAGAAGCTCAGAAAACACCTGCTCAGAAATTGAAGTGTTCTTGTAGACAATGGTCATAAATAGCCCACCAGAAGGGCATCCGTTATCCCTCAACGGCTTCGGAGGCTTCTGAGCAATCTCCGATGGCTACAAATACGTACTTGTTCTAGAATATATGCCTTTATGCTCCCCGAAAGACCTGAATTTCTGAAAACCCTTTCGAGCAAGGTTATAATGGATCTCATCTTCTCCAAAGGTTTGTGGCGGTGACAGATCGTCAATTTCCCTAATCCCCTATTAAAGATCTCAGCTGCATAACGAGCTATTCATGGGGTAATTGTACTGCTGGGTCAGATATCTTACATGCACCTCTTTCCAAACCAAACCTGACTCTTATACATAAAAAAACGAAAAAAGTCGAATCAAATTTCCAATTAACAAGCAGTTTGGTGAGGAAATTCTTCTATGCCTTTGTCAAATAATTCATTTTTGAAAAGGACGAACTTATCGGTCCCTGAAATATTGTGGATATTCTGTCCTCACTAGTCGAAGGTTTTCCCTATCGACCAGTGGAAGCTCGAAATATTTACTCAGTGGGTTGATGACGAAGCACTAGCGCTCGCGCAACCGTTTCGAGGAACACTATGAAACAGTGCGAGAGAGAAGTCGGATTAGTATCCGGTACAGCACTATGAAGACCAGATCGATCGACTAAAATTGTTCAAAACAAGTTCAAGAAGATATTTTTAGATACTATAATAGTATACTATTACT